CTGTCGTTGTTTGGCGGGTCCGGGCTGGGGATTTGAACCCGCCACCTTAGGTGTACGTGGCTGGCGCCTTAGCCAGTTGAGCTATAGGTGCCGAGCCAAGAAATATTTTCTAGAAGGAAATGATACCAGTTCATTTTCTCAAAAAAAAAAAAAAAATCTCTTCAGTGATACCTACAATTTTATTAGTACTTTATTCAAATAAGTTTATACAGTCTCTTTAAGTGTCTTAATATTGAAATACCTTGGAAGAGGGACTGGAGGAAAATAGATGTGTGGGAACAATAAAGGAAGTAGAAGAAAATGACAAATTACTTTTTACCTACGGTTGGCCCAAATACAGTATTTAGTATTATAGTTTGTGTTATCAAGAACCAACTAGACAAGTTAGAAATTGAAAGCAATAGAGAGATGAAGTGAAAAATATGTCCTACTTCTTTTAAATTTTAGTTGATAAGATAAAAAATCTCCTATATTCCAAGTCCATATGCTCTGCATACCAGTTCACCTGCACATTAGGGAAACAGATGTTATTTTGTGCCCTTTAATAAGAGAACAAACTCTGGATGAGATAGATTAGGTAAATTTCTAAAGATCACACATCAAGCAAGGAAGATATGTCTTGAACATAGATCTGCTGGCTATTGAAGATATATATTTTTTTCTTTTTTTTTTCATGGTGCTACCTTGCCTCAACGGACAAGAAGCTGTTTATCAAAATGTAGAAAAACCTAACATCAGAAGTGAGGAATAGTATTTATACAAGAAGTATGATAAGTGGTCAAAAGAGGGAAAAGTATCTTCCAGGTTCTTTAAATAAAGTATTAACCTATCCTTAACTAAAGCCCTAAACAAGATAATGCAGAATTACCTGGGATTTTAAGATTATAGAATCACTGTCACAGACTGGCTCCCCACTCAACCTTAAAATCCTTTCTAAGCCTTCATAATGGCTGATGTGATACAGGTATTCCCCAGAAGTGCATATTCCCCAAAAGGCAAATATTTGTCAACCTCAAGAGAAGTTGAAAAATCTCTGATCTCTAAAGTAGTGTCCAGGCTCGGCGCCTGTGGCTCAAGTGGCTAAGGCGCCAGTCACATACATTTTAGTTGGTGGGTTCGAATCCAGCCCAGGCCTCCAAAGAACAACGACGGCTGCAACCAAAAAATAGCCAGGCGTTGTGGCGGGTGCCTGTGGTCCCAGCTACTTGGGAGGTGGAGGCAGGAGACTC